TCAGTTTAGGGTTACACTTTCTGCCAGGTGAGCCAGGGCCGGTCACATCTCCTCTTTCAGAATGGCTCCGAAATCTTGAAATCTCCCTGCACTGTACTCAGCAATACCATTCATTTGGGGGAAATGAAAGCAATTTTGAAATCTGGGGTCGTGGGCACCCACCCTGCCGTTATTCCAGAAAAAATCTCTTGCAGGCACATTTCCACTCTTCAATCATGAAAGTGAGATGGACGGCCGAAACGTTTCCCAGAGACGCATAAACATCCAAACAGTCAGTTTACAGTACTATGAAGGGACCTGAGTCATCATGGCACTTAAATGAGTTGTCAAACACGGGGGAAAAATAACATTTGAGGAAACTGTGGGTTCAACGACATGGACTATGCAGAGAGCGTTCCCTCTAAGCCGAGTTAGTGTGAGGGAACTCACAGTTTTTTAGCCTCCGGCTCACACATTTTTTTGTCTTTGCTCAGGAAGGAGGGCTCCAGAACAAACTAATTTATGCAGTAGCTAAATCGCTTGCTCACAACTGTAATGCCAGTAGCTCACAAAGGAGAATCTTTACTCATAAGACTCCACAGCTTAGAGGGAGCATTGCACGCAGATAAGCTAACAGGATTCTTCAAGAGTGGCATCCCACACAGAGATACTCCTGCCTAGGCCCAATGATTTCGAATAGCTTAAACGGGAGTAACTTCCTACAGGACGGCGCTGTGAGTCACCCGATAACACGACATATTTAATTTGCTCTGGATGAGATGAAATGGATTCTTTAAGAAAGTGAGATGCCTGGGACTGTCTGCACTCATTAATTAATTAATCTGTATAATTAAAAAACACACACCATTATTTAATACCCTGCAATATCGATTGTAGAAAACAAACAGAGAATTAAACTGCCCGCAGATAAATTTCACCAACGATAATATTTTACAATAGGAAAATAGATAACTCTTCACAGTTGATACAAAAAGGCACTGATCCACTTCGACCGGGACGGATCCTTCTCTGCCTTTCTTCGTGTTTGCAATGGAAATATGGCATTGGGAAACTTTCACAGTGGGGAGGGAGGGATTCCAGAACTCGGACCAGGAACTCCAGAGGGTTCGAGGCTGGGACCCAGCACAGTGTGCCGATGTGGATGAGGTATGCGCTGATCTGCAAACGTACTTCTGGGCCAGAAAGGAGGAGGCGTGTGCAACACCGACCCCTGCACTTGGCAGGCAGCAAGCAGCCTTTGGACTGGCCGGGGCTCCGTGCAAACACCAGGAGGAGGAGCCCGGCCTCCTACCTGGGCCCCTCCAACAGAGTGGTGCCCTCGGCTCCTTAGGGACAGGTCAGCCCACTGGTCACGGGAGGGCCATGAGCCCCCGCATCCCTTCCTGGCCCAGATGTGAGTGCAGCTGCCCCAGCCGCAGCCCGGCCTGAACAACAAGACCAAAAATCTGCTTCATTCTGGAAGCTGAAAGTCTTCCTTTCCACCAGAGAGTGGCCCCAGCTGCCGGAGACCCACACGACGGGCAGCGGCCCCAAAGATGCCAGTTCAGAAACTGGCAAAGGGGTGGCACCGAGGCAGCGGCTGCCGCCAGGTTCTGGCCTGCTAGGCGGCGGGTGCAGGGAAGTGGCTTCTGCCCCCCACAGCAGCTCCGGACCAGCAAGCATCACCCAAGGGTGGGCATGAGAAAAGCCGTGGGAGCGCAGGGCCCTTCCTGGGGGTGGAACGGGGGGGGGGCCTGAGAGGGCGCTGGAGGCCACGTGGGGGGGGTGCAATGGAGGAGCAAGATGGGGCTGCTGAGAAGGGGTGAGGGGGTGGGGGATAAAAGCCGAGGCAGAGCAAGAAGGCAGGAATGGGGGGGGAAGAGGCCAGCCGGGGAGGCGAAGGAAGGGATGGAAGGAAGGCAAAGGAGGAGGACAAAGAAAGGAAGCTGAAAGACGGGCAGGTGAAAAGGAAAAAGAAGAGAGTGCCAGGAAGGAGAGGGCAGGGGAAAGCGAGGACCAGTGCCAGCCAGAGTAGCTTCGTGGGGAAGAAAGGGCAGGAAGCGGAGGTGCCCCAGGGCATGCCAGTGTGTGGAACATGCTGTCAATAAAGACTCACAGGTCCGCAATTCCTGGCTGGTGAAGATTTGAGTGTAGCTCTGGAATGAGGGTCTAATGGGCCCTTCACACACCTGACCTCATTTTATTTTTGCCCCCCTGTCTTTTCTCAATGTTCCCACTGAGGTTCTCTCGGTGTGAACCGGGGACGGCTGCTCCATATTCAGCTGAACACGGGATGCAGCGTTCCTGGAGGAAATGCCCCACAACTTTGCGGCACGAACACGAAGTCCATGCAGCGTTCCTGGAGGAAATGCCCCACAAAGCTTTGCGGCACGAACACAAAGTCCATATCGTTTTTTCTCTCTCTCTCTCTCTCACTCACTCATTTGTTCGTCTGATTCAAGTCAAGAGTTACAGCTGCGTCTCTTCCTGTTCCCAAGGATACGGGGGGAAGTGGAAAGACGCCGGAAGGGAGGCCAGCTTCTGAAGTTTGGGACGGGGCGCCGGCTTCGGCTTGTGGAAGGAACGCCGGCTCTGTACCCGTCTGGCGGCTGCAGACCGGTGATGCGGCTGTGCGTGGAGCGTCCAGTTCTTCTCGCGAGGGTCCCAAAAGACAGGCTCCTCTCGCCCTCCGGCCTCAGGAATGGGACGTCCCAGCTGTGAGGGCCCGGGATCGTAGCTTGTTTCAGCACAGTGACTTGTACTGAAATGTCCTTGGTCCCTTGTCCTCGAGGGCCCTTGCCTGGGGAGGTCAGGCGGCTCCCGTTGAGTGGGAGTCAAGTACTCTGAGAACGGGAAACTCTCCTCATCTTCCAGAGGGGTGTAGTCCTTTCGCCAAGGCCCTGAGAGTCCCCCTGGAAAGAAGCCAAGGCGTTCCTCTGGCAAAGGAATCTCTGGTTTTGTTTGTTCGTATTCCCAAGGGGGCAGCATTTCACCGGAAGGATACCCTGAGACCTTAGCACCAAACGTTGAGTCACCTGTTGTGGCAGAAATTTGGAAATCAGAACACAGTTGTGTCAAAATGCACACCCAAATATAGCAAGGGAGAGTCAGTTTTAATAGCAATCCCCCCCACACACACACACCCCGTGGGCCCTTGGCTGACTGCACTCTGCTTGAAGGGGGTGCTGATTTTACCCCGGGGGGGGGCGTAATCAACCTGCTAGGCCTTCTATCCAGCGGAGAATTCAGAATTCCGCAGAAATACAGAGGTGGGAGAAAGACTACCCTAGCGTTAACGACAGGGGCTCAGCTAATTACTTTCAGCATTCTACAATTAAGAAAGGTACGTTTATACATTAGTCTCCAATTTTGATATATTTATTTGCTTCTCTGTCCAAACAAATGGTGACCATATCAACTAAGCTCGTTATTCCTGTTTGGATCTTGCGCCTGTTAAACATCTTCATTATGGTGTATGCTAATTTGCTGCTCACCCTCTACCTATATGTATGGACTGGTGACTTCCATTTCAGTGTATCTGAAGATGCACACAAAAGCTTATACCTTGGGAAAAAACTTTATTGGTCCTAAAGGTATCACCGGACTCGAATGTTGTTCTGTCGCTTCAGACCAACACAGCTATCTACCCAAATCTACCCAAGTGTGGGTGTTTGTTTGGAATTTCTTGTTTTGGAGCGCCACCCAGTGGCTATTCAGCCTGGCTTTCTCATAGAGACCCAGGCTCTCGTCAGAAATAACACAAATGTATCTATTTCTAAAAAAAATCAGTCAAGCTACTAATCGTAAGTAAGCTATCGTTTTTTGGGACAAACGCAAACTGACTAGTTTGCTTCCAGGAGAAACCACAGCCTTGGAAATCTATTCTGACCTCACTGTGCTGAGCCAACACTTTTAAAAGTCTCACCAGCCTTCCCGACAACCCACCACGGCACACAAACATACATCAGTCTTTGCATACATCAGTCCCAAGAAATACTAATGAAAAGAAAAGAAAAGGTTGCTTAGGAGGAAGAAAGAGAAAGTGCAGACACCAGAAAACAAAAAGACTTCCCAAGAAAAGAGACGCAATCCTTGTGTGAAAGGAGAGAGAAGGGGATAGAAGCTCAGCTGTGTTCTGTAGAAGCTTCCCTGGAGGGAGGCATCGGCCTGCACTGGTGCCGAGAACCTGCAGCACCCAAGCCCTGCACTCTTGCTGCGTGGGGTGGATGTGTTAATCAGAAGATCTATCAATCAGAAGATCTACTAATAGATTAGAGGATCTATTGATCAGAAGTTTCTAAAGGAAAAGGCCTCTTGAGTAAGAAAAAACAGACACATCAGTGGAATACAATTATCATCAGCTCTGAGATGGACGCACTTTTAAAGACCAATGTTTCTCTTGGTTTTGGAACACAAAGGAAGAAGAAGAAGAAGAAAAGGAGGAGGAGGAGGAGATTGGATTTATACCCCGCCTTTCATTCAGAGTCTCAGAGCGGTTTACAATCGCCTTTCCCTTCCCCTCCCCACAACAGACACCTTGTGAGGTAGGCGGGGCTGAGAGAGCTCTTTCGAGGACTGTCCTTGAGAGAACAGCTCTGACAGAACTATGACTTGCCCAAGGTCATCCAGCAGCTGCAAGTGGAGGAGTGGGGAATCAAACCCGGTTCTCCCAGATTAGAGTCCGTGCACTTAACCACTACACCGAACTGGCTCCCAGTTAGTGCCAGAAGCCGCTAAAGAGATTAAAAGCAGGAACAGGATATAAAGTGTCTAGATGTCAACTTCCAGGGAATTTGTGAAATTAAAGGGAGTCGGTAAAACTTAAGAAGACCTGGCCCTCCAGGCCTAGCCGGGGCTTGTGCTGAGTGTATAAAGAATAAATGTGACTTTCAGGCATAGAAGTCAAAGGAGGAAAAACAGGGAGGAAAAATAAGACGGAAAAATAAGAGTAACTGTTTGCAGGTTGGCTAGAGACTGCCAAGAGAGATGCAAAAGCGGAGACGACCAGCATGTCGGAAGTATTACATGGGTGTTGAATCCGGGAGGAAGGCCCGGGGCCGTTCTTCGGGGAGGTCAACTTGCAGAAAGGAGTCTATGGATCTAGTGCTCAGCCGGATGGGGGCCAGCCGCTGGAAGTTGCTGGGAGAGTAGGGGATCTGTTCTTGGGCCCTCGGGGACGGCACCACCATCTCTTCGGAGTACAGCCACGGCGGAAACCTCATGGTGGCGGTTTGTTCGATGTCGGCTGAAAATACTGGGTTATCAACTCCTACAAAAAGTCCATGAGCAACAAATTCAGTGCCTGAGTGAACAGAAGCGTTTCTGGGTGGTGGTCAGGCTGCCAGGCAGGAATGAGGGAGGCGGAACAGGGCGGGCCGCTGACACATCTGGCTCATCTGGATGCAGAGAAGGCTCAGGTGACTGAATCTAAGTTGTAATATGAAGCCACTTTACAGCTGGTCAGACTGCGTCTCCAGCTAGCCTAGTTTAGTCCCAAGTGCTTTTTTAACAGGCGATGCCATAGATGGAAGCGGGACCTCCTGCACGAAAAGATGCCCTCCTGCCGAACTGTTGGCCTTCCCATAATGGTGCCTTCAGGTTACAAGAAAGGGACAACAGAGACAGGCCCGTAGCTTCACTAATTGGGGATTATCTCATTAAAAATGAGAGCTCCCTTCAAACACTGCGGGACAGAAATCATACCTCCCGTACTGGTAAGAATACTTCTCATGCCAACTTCTGTTCTGAGAATTAAGAACAGGCGTCTTATTTATAGCGATACGGGCCCTTTTGACAACGAGAATATCCAATTTTTTTATCGGCATCTTATGAAATCATCAGACCGTTTCTGTCATTTTCTCTCTCTCTAGGAATGAGGGAGGCGGAACAGGGCGGGCTGCTGACACATCTGGCTCATCTGGACTCAGAGAAGTCTCAGGTGACCGAATTTAAGTTGTAATATGAAGCCACTTCACAGCTGGTCAGACTGCGTCTCCAGCTAGCCTAGTTTAGTCCCAAGTGCTTTTTTAACAGGCGATGCCATAGATGGAGGCGCGCCCTCCTGCACAAAAAGATGCCCTCCTGCCGAACTGTTGGCCTTCCCATAATGGTGCCTTCAGGTTACAAGACAGGGACAACAGAGACAGGCCCGTAGCTTCACTAATTGGGGATTATCTCATTAAAAATGAGAGCTCCCTTCAAACACTGCGGGACAGAAATCATACCTCCCGTACTGGTAAGAATACTTCTCATGCCAACTTCTGTCCCGAGAATTAAGAACAGGCATCTTATTTATAGCGATAACGGGCCCTTTTGACAAAGAGAATATCCAAATTTTTAATCGGCATCTTATGAAATAGTCTATTTAAAATCAGACCGTTTCTGTCATTTTCTCTCTCTCTTTCGTAGCACAAAGGACTTTCTCCCTTCTAGTGACAGAGCCAAAATTGAATGCAGAAAAAGACATTTTCCTTGAGACTGCGTAATGCAATGTTGCAACCTCTCCATTTCAGCCTGGAATCCAAATCTTGGCCCCCCTGAGAAAACTGGAAAACTGATTTATTTATTTTTGCAGCCCTGAAAACTACTAACGTTAATGCCCGTTTTGTTTCATAGGGTTTAAGCCACAAGACTGAAAATGCATTTGATTTCAAATATGGAAAATGCATAAGATTTGAATCTATGTTTTTTGTTTGTTTCAGTGGACATTATTAAGTTATAAATCGCCAGCCCATTATTATCAAAACATAAACTGACACATAATAATAATAATAATAATACTAATTTGGATTTATACCCCACCCTTTACTACCTGAAGAAGTCTCAGAGCAGCTTACAATCTCCCTTCCCTTCACCTCCCCATAACAGACACCCTGTGAGGTAGGTGGGGCTGAGAGAGCTCTTGTGAGAACTGCTCATGAGAGAACGGCCCTGAGAGAACTTGTGACTGACCCAAGGTCACGCCAGCAGCTGCACATGGAGGAGTGGGGAATCAAACCCGGTTCCCTTGGATTACAGTCCACACTCCTAATGACTACACAAAACTGGCTCTCAAATACCAAAGGACTAAAATCACACATTCATTTCCTTACCACTCATATCCATAATATTCTGCCTGGTGACATTAGCAAGGAAATCCATTGCCAGCCCTGTGTGGAGATTATCATAATTATTCTCCTCAGCCTCAGAAACTTCAGTGTCTGAAAGAAAAAAGTTGAGTTTCATCACTAAACTGTGTATCTTTGACAAGTGGTCCAAATCAACTTTAAAACTGCTAGCATGGTTACAACACTGAAGTACCACGCAGACGGTGAAATAAGAGAATTATTTGCATCTTGTCGTGTCCCTTTGACGGAAGCCCTCCAGGGGAAACTGACTGCTTGGTTTTTCCAAGCAAATCCACCAAATGTCGTATTGTCGTATTGTTTGTGTTCTCTATCTACCAAGGAGCAGGACTTTATGTGTGGGTTTCAGACTGTTTCCTTGGTATTTAGATATCTATAATTTACTCTGCTGGCATATGGACAACCAAGGACAGATATGGGAGGGGTGGGTGGGATAGCCATTATTAATGTCAAGGACCCCAGGGGGAACTTGCAGGAAAATAATGGGGGGAGGTCAAAGTGAGCCCCTCCATTCTTTACAGATGCCTAAACAACTGGGGGCTGCGGTGACTCAGTGGTTAAGACGCTGAACTGCAGACCAGAAGGTCGCTAGTTCAGCAGTTCGAGACCTGAGTGCCGCATGACGGAGTGAGCTCCCGTCTCTGGTCCCAGCTCCTGCCAACCTAGCAGTTTAGTTTAGTCATGCCGGCCACATGACCACGGAAAGGTCTTCGGACAGCGCTGGCTCTTCGGCTTGGAAACGGAGATGAGCACCGCACCCCTAGAGTTGGATTCGACTGGCTTTCGAGCAAGGGAAACCTTTACCATTAAACAACTGGGGGTTGGATCAGGATGAACACAAACAGCTGTTTTGCACCCATATCACTGGCACTTCCGCTCTGCCTGGCCCTGCTGTCTACCTCTTCCTTGCTGCTGGACAAGTAAAGAGGGAAGGAAGGGCTGGGGGGGGGGAGGGCTGTGCTTAGTAGCCATTAAAAGGCTAACCTAGAGAGCAAAGGGAGACATGAGCACAAAATTAGCACCCCGTATCCTGCAAAGTGCCCTGTGCTGGATGCTGCTACGTATATGAATGAGAAGAACACCACTAGTGGTCAGCTCTCAACGCAAAACGGTTCAATGCATCAGCAGCGACTTACAACCTCTACTGGATAATGACAGTTCTCTTTAATGAGTACTGGGGTGGGCGAACCTTTTCTTGCACACGGATGGCCCCCCCCAATCTTAAACAACCCCTCACCCAAAATAATACAACCTCTAGTTTGAACATGGACAGTGGTACCAGAGCTTGCGATAAATCCCGATGCCAACTTTGCTGCCACTTACACCCAGACAGCACAAGCACTGGACCTAGGGCTGCCAAGCCACGGCGGGGGATCCGTGCGTCTTCACAGGATCCCTGCCGCGGCTTGGCAGCCCTAACTGGACCTAACAACAGCAACTACACCATCTCAGGCTCATTCACTTGCTCATCTTCTAACACCGTACACACCATTAAATACACTGCCCTTCTGTTCTCTACACAGGGCAAACAGGTCAAACCCTACACCAAAGGATAACTAGACACAAATCTGACACCAGGAATCACAAAACTGAAAAACCTGCAGGATAACATTTCAGCCTCCCAGAGAACTCAACGAGCTGTTTTATTGCAAAGGAATTTCAGGAACCGACAGGAACGGGAGATTGCTGAGTTACAGGTTGTCACAACACTCAAGGTTTAACCGAGATATCAGGTTTTTCTTTCACCACAAATGCTAAATCACGCAGGTCTCACATCTGCCTGTTAACTCTTTTATTACCTGTACGCTAATGTGCTGCTACTCACAGGTTTTACCAACTGCTTTAATCCAATCTGAGCTATACTTATTGCTCTGTTACTCCTGCATCTTGACTACAATGATTAACCCTTCCTGGCAACTAAACACCCCCCCCCCCATGTAATGGTTGAGAAAGTCTTGTTTCGGTGTATCTGAAGATGTGCACATGATGTGCACATGAAAGCTTATGCCCAGAATTAAACTTTGTTGGTCTTCAAGGTGCCACCGGACTAAAAAATGTGTTTTATTTGTTTGTCTTATTTATAGTCATTTGGCCTGGGGCTCACATTCTTGGGGGCCCCTCAAATGTACACTTTTGATGTTAACTCTTAATTTGGTTACAGTTACAGACACAGAAATACTAGCTTCCCCAAGCGCCTGTTTTTGGCAGGATTTTCCCCACCGGAGCCTGGGACACTCCCCTCCCGGAATAATGGGGCCAACCAGCCACGGGAGGACAAAAGCCCCCCAAACAAATGGCAGGTACCAGTCTCCATGCCTGCCATCTAGGTGTAAAGCATACTGATTGACACATTATATATTGTATCTTCTCTGCAGTGCTTTTACTACTGATCTGTTGCCTTGCACAGGCTGTTTGATGCCATGAAATTTGACTCGGTTCTGTTTTCACTTATAATGTTTAAACTGGTGCACCCCTTCAAGCCGCCCGTCCGTTGTCTCACTGTTGAAGTTAATAGTTTATAATGATATCAGTTTATATGATAATCTCTCCTTATATTATAAAGCCGATTTGGGGTGGCTTCTGTCCTATGGGGTGACGAGATTCCATTCACACCAAAATCAGTTGGCCGCCTCAACTGTCGCTCACAGACGAGTCCCGACCCACTGGCTAGCCTGCGTTGCTCCGTTGGCTCAGTCCCGCCCACAGACCCGCAGCCCAGCCTCTCACACAGCCTTTCGTCTGGGGACCTGTCCATCACACCGTCTCGCCATCCATTGCCGGCTGCGTTGCCAAGGTCTGACCATCCATTGGTTGCCTGCGTTGCCATGTGTGGTCAAAGTCCCGGAAAATCAGTCCTGCCCACAGAAGCCCCTGCCAGCGTCTCGCCCTCACTCTATGAGGAGACGCTGGACTGGATGGACGGGCGGCCACTAGCAGTCACTCATGCACGTCTTGGGAGGTGGCGGCATGGGCCCGCCTGGCCTTGCCGCGGCCTGCTGCCTCCCTCCTGCGACGGCCTGGCCTGCGCCTCCGCTGCCTTCCTCGCCACACTCTTCCTCGCCCCTACCTCCCATGCCTGCCCGCTCATGCGAGGACACTGACAGGAGGGGAGGGAGGGACCCCGGTGGCTAGCCGCGCCGCTGTGGCCCTGGGGGCGACGGCGCACAGCCATCACAGATGCCAACAAGGGTGCCAGCCCACGGAGGGGCTGCGGAGTCACCACTCCAGCCGCTCAGGGGCTGACCGCGATGCCCATGCCCCGCAGGCCGCCATCTCCGCTGTGTCCCTGAAGACGGCTCGGGCAGGGAGCCGCTGCCAGCACGTCCCCTCGACACCCCATGCCCGGCGTCTGAGGAGCGCCTACAAAGCGGGGAGTCTGGCGGGAGCTGCGAGGCGGCGGCTACAAGGTGGGCCCCCTTTCTAGCAATCGTTGCATACTTGCTGCAACGGGCCTTGCTCCCAGTCATTTATAATGATAATAGTTTATATGACTTGTAATACAAATGATAATAGCTTATAATAGTAACACAAATGATAATAGGAAGGTCACTGGGATTTGTAAGTTTTGCATGATTGTAAACAGATTTTTTTTTAATGTAGGCTCACTCGCAGCTTTTATGCTAGTAGCTCTTTTGACTCATGGAGTAGAATCTTTGCTCATAAGATGACACGGCTTAGAGGGAACATTGGAGATTCCGGTACTCCTAGTCCTACAACACTGCTTATTATATGTTTGCTTATTATGGGTTTTGTCCCACTGATTGCACTGACTGACACTGTGTGATCCGTCTTGAGTCTCACTGAGAAAGGCGGACTATAAATAGATGAAAAAAATCTTAAGACTAGCACCGCACGAGTGTTACAATGAACATCAGCGCTCACACTGGAATGGGGACATCCCCAAAGGACTCCTGGGAGAATTCAGAGACATCCTAGTGAACATGAGGGCTGCCATCTGACAAATACTTTCATGGGAGTAAGTCCCATTGAATGACACTTACTTCCAAGTAGACCTGCTTAGCAGTGCTCTCTTAAAAGCACTCTTAACCAGGTCTACTTCTGCTTCTTAACTAGAACAAAGTTTGAGTCCAGTGGCACCTTCTGGGTATAAACTATCATGTGTGTGTACACTTACAAGTGTGAATGGACACGAAACTTGCACCCAGAATAAAACACCGTTGGTCTTAAAAGGTGCCACTGGACTCAAACTTTTTGTTGCTTCAGGTGCTACCCACCTGAATCTTTCTTCCTAACCAGGTCTACTTACTTCTAAGTCCCACTTTGATCAGTGGGTCTTACTCCCAGGAAAGTATTCTTGGAACTAGGCTTTCAGTTACCTAAGTGTGATCCGCCAGCATTCATATTTGCATCCAGAAAAGGGGAGGGGGCAGACCTCTAAGGTCTGGACACTCATGAAAATCAGACTGTCAAAATTCACCAGAATGTGAACATTTGCTGTAACACATACAGTCAATCTGGACTGACTGACACTATCATCAGGGGTCATTTGGGGTCAGAGCGCGCCGGAGCACCACTCCGGCAGCCCAGGAGCTGACACAAATGGCGGTGGCGGCAAGCCCTGCCCCCGGTTACCTACGCCGAAGTGCTGTGGCCCGGGGGACGCCTGAGGAGGCCCGTCGCTGGCCCCCCGGGGCCTGCGCTGGAGCGCTGTGGCCCGGGAGAGGCCTGAGGAGGCACATCGCCGGAGCGCTGTGGCCTGGGGAAGGCCTTGATTGCAGTAAGTGAGAGATCCACGTCAAGAATCCGCAGGGGTG